ACCGCGGGCTGGCCGCCGCGCACAGGTGGGTGTCCCCAACAGCCCCGGTGGCACCGGCGCGGGAATCAATAGTACTGGTGTCACTGGATCCGGTCCCACCACACAAAGGCAGGTGTCCCCAACACCGCCGGTGTCACCAGTGTCACCAGCACTGGTGTCAGCAGCACCAGCATCACCAGCACTGGCATCACTGCTACTGGTGTCACCGGATCCGGTTCCACTGCACAAAGGTGGGTGTCCCCCATGTCCCCAGTATTAGTGGCACTGGAATCAATGGCACTGGTGTCACTGGCATCACTGGTGTCACCGGGTGGTGTCACCAGATCCAGTCCCACCACACAAAGGTGGGTGTCCCCAATACTGCCGGTGTCACCAGCATCACCAGCACGGGTGGCACCAGCACTGGAATCAATGGCTCTGGTGTCACTAGTGCTGTCACCAGATCCGGTTCCACCGCACAAAGGTGGTTGTCCCCAATGCTGCTGGTGTCACTGGTGTCACCAGCACTGGTCAAGGGCAGTGGCATCACTGGTACTGGTGTCACCGGTGGTGTCACCGGATCCAGTCCTACCACACAAAGGTGGGTGTCCCCAATGCCACCGGTGTCACCAGCACTGGAATCAACAGCACTGGCATCACTGGTACCAGTGTCACTGGTGGCACCAGATCCGGTCCCACCACACGAAGGTGGGTGTCCCCAATGCCACCGGTGTCACCAGCACTGGAATCAACAGCACTGGCATCACTGGTACCAGTGTCACCAGTTCCAGCCCCAGCCCTGAGCCCCCGCCGTCCCCACAGGGCGCTGGAGTCGGGGTGTCACCGTGTGCCACGGGGGACGGCGCGGCTGTTGTCACCCGTGGGAGACCCCGAGAAGGTGATCTGCGTGGGGCTCAACTACCGCGACCACTGCCTGGAGCAGGACGTCAAGGTCCCCAAGGAGCCCATCATCTTCAGCAAGTTCCCCAGCGCCATCGTCGGGCCCTTCGATGACATCGTGCACCCCCAGGACAGCACCGTGAGGACACCCCCGCGTCCCCACCCTGTCACCGTGTCACCCCCCCATGTCACCATCCCATTTTGTCCCCACAGGAGGTGGACTGGGAGGTGGAACTGGCCGCCGTCATCGGGAAAAAGGGG